ATTATTGATCGTCGCTCATAGCCAATCAAAATCGAGGATCATCCGTGAAATTTTGGTGCGGCAGCTAGGTTCAATCATTAATGAGATACTGCGCAATGTAATTTTATAATTCAGACCAGCTGATATAATTCTGGTCAGCTTTATAATGCAGACTTGAATTAACCAATCGGAAAATCATTCCCGATATTTGCGAACGAAGCCTACTTATGTCGTTGTGCAAACCATACAATCATTAAATTCGGTCTTAGTATTTTTTTAGGGTGGTGATGCTAGGGTCTTGCACATTGTCTAGGTGCTTTTTGTTATAAGATTTTAGAATTTGAGCTAATATGTAATATAGGTGGGCTCACAAGAAATTGTCTGCAGGCACTAATAGATTGACCACCGCATATTAACCGGAATTTGCTTTAATTAAATTTAGAAATCGGTTTATTTTCTAAATACATGAATTTCTAAATACATAAATTTAAAATAGAATTCTTGCGTTTGTCAATGGATAGATGCCTTACAATATTTCTCGATCTTTTGAACTTACTATCTATACTTATTAAAATTTAAACTTATTCTTAAACCATAAGCTATTTAACTTAACTATTGTTACATATAAAGAAGATCACTATTAATTTTTTTATATTTGTATTCTAATCTTATGACTACCATACCCTGCATTTGTTAATGGTTAGTAATGACGGTTAAGAATGGTAAAAACAAAGATTAAATCGTTTTTATATTGTTTAAATGTTCGTATTTTCTGTCACCGTATAGTTATAATATATTGGAAGAGCTTAAACGAATTTGGTTTCACGAACTTTTTTTTAACGATACATCATGATAAATTAGATAATTTTTAAAATCGAATTTTAAACCATTTGTCACCCTAATGGAAATCCTTGCACCACAATTGATTCCCTACGATTATTGTTATATAACCAAAACTTAATGCGTAATCGAATGATTCATTTTTGTTAATTCGTGCTAATCTAGCATAACATTATTTCTTATTAACATTTGAGTTAATATTCGATTTAAATAAGACGTAACATTATCGAAGGCTGATTTTTTCGCGTTATTTTCTGTAATGTATTTTTTTAAAATTAATCGTCTCGTCATAAGATTTTGCAAAAATAGTAAACGATAAAAGGCTGACATAAATGACTTATCACGATAAATAAAGCGATTTTTTAAAATTTTGAAATCTAAAACGAAATAATAATGATGGGCTCAAACAAAATAATAATTTTGACCCAGCAGTTATATTTATATCTCACAATACACTCTATGATTGTTCATTTTTAAGCAAGCTGCTATCAAGCTTTATTCTAGCTCTTGGAAGTTCATTGTTGGGAGAAGGTGTAGAGAGTTTATTATCAGAAGGAGACGTAGTGGGTTTATCATCGGAAGAAGGTGTAGAGGGATCATTATCGAAAGGATGTGTAGAGTGTTCATGATTGAAAGGATGTGTAGAATGTTCATCATCAAAGTGATGTGTAGAGGGTTCGTTATTATAAGGAGGAGTTATAGCGATTCTTTTATTATTTGTATAACCTTTCTTAGGTCTACGTCCACGTTTTTTGGTGCTATGGGGATAAGTGCATACAACATTACGTTTTATGCATTCACGGCATTTAGCAGATTGATCAAGATGTGCCTCGTTTTTGCATCTGGTTTTTAAGCGTCTGCAAGAATTACATGCTTTAGTTGTGTTGTATCGATATGTTAAGAGATTATTTGTTTTTGGTGGCATTTGAATGTTCATAATTAATTATTCGTAAATTATATTATGATAACTGTTAGACTCCCGAAATTACATTTGAAAATCGATAACTAGATGTATTTATAAGATTTGATAAAATAATTTTGTAGTACAATATCGGAAGCATCTTGACATTTATACTGAGTTAAGGAAGTTAAAATAATAAACTGCATAAATGTACCTATTGAAATACTAAATTTTGGGATTTAATTTTAGAAAATGCAAGTATACGTTATTAGAGTTGTTAAAATCAGTATCATAAATGGTTGTAATTATAAAGAATTACGGTAAAAAAATGCCGTAATTCATTATAATTCAACCAATTACGGCATTGCGCACACACCTCTATACGTTGTGATTATCAAAATTTTGTGACTTGAACTATTATTAGTGTAAATAGTTCCTTTTTGAAATTTTCATTACACCATATCTATGGAAATTAATAATATTAGGGTTAACAAATTGTATTTCCTAATTTTCAATACAAAAGTTTTACGAATAAAATAGTTTGCCAATACAGCAGTAAGTTTTTGATTATACGGAGCATAGCGCAGAATATAATGGGAAGTAATAGAACAGATGTGTGCGTGTTTTGGGAGTGCCATTTATTACTAATTTCTTTTTATTAGAAGGTCAGTTCCCCCTCCCAATAGGTGATCGGATTAGGCCAATCATAGTTTTATATATAACATATAGACGTGATATTACCGCTAACATCCCCTCCTCCCTTCTTAAATTATGGATAAACAGCTCTTTCCTTATGTTCGCACCTATTTTTAAATAGATAATTATCAATTTATCTAAAATAAGTATTGTCAATAGAAATAAATGTACTGTAAACCAAATATAGAATTTTGTACAACAGAATTCAGGCTTTCAAGAAATATCTTTATACTGTAGTACATATAATCAAAAGAATTTAGCTTTGGTTGTCGTCTAAACTACTTATGTTTGATTTTTGAAATTCCATACAAGTTATATACATTTTTCTTGGCGACACTCATATATGCATCAAATTTAATCTAATATAAGAGTCCTCTCTACACTTCGGACAACTAACTCCATATATCAACCAATTTGTTTACTTTTATTTTTAGTTAGCGCTCCGGATATATAACAATGTCTGTTTTCTAGTCTATATTTCCTTTTATATTCACTAAGCTTTGTTGTCTCATAAAATCATTATAAATTAATTAATAAGTTAAATACCACTGTGACCAACATTGATATAGGCTAATTTCTGGATAAATCATGAATATAAATCTTCTATTTCTTTATTTTTATATGTTATTTAATACTAAGAAAACAGAAACTGTTAGATATCCGGTTCACCAACAAAGTATTGGTTGATATAGTTAATACAGTCGCATGCACTTATTTGCGCGAGTAATACAAAATTCCAAACACGTACGAAAGAAGAAAAAACTAAAATACTCAAAAACTAGCACTTTGTTTATTTACACGAAATTCAATTTATTTTTTGGTTGTGTTACGTTCAATACAGTCGGGGATTTTTTAAATTCGTGTAACGCAGTTTCTTCTTTTTGTAAAGATCTGCAATTGGAATCTTCTTTTTGAATTCTATAGGACAAAATTTTGCACCAATCATTGGCTGCACAACCGTCTCAACGGAATAACTTTTGCAAGATTAGAATAACCCTTTAATCTATTGCAGATCAATTCTATTTCGGGTCTGTAATATATGCAGAAAATAAGGACCGATATTACCCATTTTTCGATTGCCTTTTTTGGAAAAGTATCTAAAACGCAGCAATTAAAATTAAGGTTCGGGTTAGTTCGAGGTTAAGCGTATTATAGGTAGGGTCGATAACTTTCTGCGGTGATATTTATTTATTTTTAAAAATAAATAAATATCACCGCAGAAAATCATCGGCCTTGATTACAGGTAATCTTACTCCCCAGACATTTTTAATTAGTGCTTCAAGATAGGTTTAGACACTCGGTTCTTGTTTTTTTTTAGTTTTTGCGTCGTAAAAATTTACGATGTGATTGGCTAATTTATACAGAACTTCCAAAAAAGGAAATCGAAAAATCGGTCGAAAATAAGAATCTGATAAAAGTCCGATGCGAAAAATCCGCACATATGTGACATATATAGGACCCTGAGCATATATAGAAAGGTCAGATCTAAGCGTGCTTATTTTCATGCTCGAACATGCCTACTTTTAACCAAAATTCGAAAAATTACTATGTGAAAAATGTCAATTTTAATTGAATTTCTTTTAAAATTTCTTTTTTGATATCCTCTGACTAGGGATATAGCCCAAACTATTTGGGACGGCCCAAATTATGTGACAATTAGTATTACATTGTTTTGACAATAAGCATAAACCTATAAAATACCTATGTGATCCTA